CTTTTTAATCATCTTATGACATTTAAAATGTTGGTTTACGGGTCATCCAAAGGCACAACTATAATATAAATGCAGCACCAAATTACACATGATATACTAATATATGTTCATTGATGAATATGTATCTTAAAGTTTTAGGACTATGGCAGAAATTAAAATATCTTCGGAGATAAAACCATTCAATTTTCAAAATGCAATAGTATTTACTTTCATATTAATTGTTAGGAAATATCCACTCTAATTGACATGATCAGACTAAACGATTTTGTTTAAAACCCATTGTTCTCATTATAAAAGAATACATGTTTACTATAAAGTATTTGCAAAACACATAAACAAGAATAAAGAAGTACATATCTATATTTCACTAAATTAGGATCTCAAAGGAAATGTAGTTTTGCTTTTTCCTTAGAGAGACCATGAGATTTTTCTGTATTATTAAATCTTCTCCACAGACATGAGTTTAATGACAAAAATAATATTGCAAAAGAGGGATGCATCTTTTTAAAGCTAGTAGTTATTATATGTTAAGAGCTATGTAGAGCTATAGTGTAAATTTGGGGAAACTATTAAATAACAATTAGAATTCCAGGAGTCAAAAAAATAGCTACTTTTACAAATTTGGCTGTACTCTTATCTCCCATATATGTGTTAGTGATAGCTTTTAAAAATTCAACTTCTTCGGGGCGCCTGGGTGGCTTAGTCAGTTGAGGAGCTGACTCCTGATTTCGACGCAGGTCATGATCTCAGGGTCCTGGGATCAAGGCTCTGTGCTCAGCGGGGAGTCTGCTTGGGATTCTCTCTCCCTCTGCCCCTCCCCCAGCTCTCTCTCTCTCTAAAATAAATCTTTAAGAAAAAACTCAACTTCCTTGAGGTATAATTTACATACATTGAAACATACATATTTTAAGTGTACTGTATACACTTAAGTGCATGCATGACTTCAGCACATGCATAAGTCAGGGTGATGGCCACCATTACCAAGATATAGAACATTGCCATCATCCCCCAAAAGTTCCCTCATGACCCTCTGCTATCAAATTTATATTTCTACCCCCATTCCCAGGCAACCACTAATCTGCTTTCTGTCATTATAAATTAATTTTGCCTTTTCTAGAATTTCATGTAAAAAATATTATGCAGTGATTTGTTTGTGTCTGGCTTCTTTGTTCAGCATATTCTTCCAGGGATTCATTCATGTTGCATGTTCTTCAAATTTGTTTTTACTGCCAAGTAGTGTTTCACTGCATGGATATATAGCACAATATGTTTATCCATGGGTTATTTCCCTTGGATATTTTCCATTTTTCCTCCTAACTGTATATCATAAGGACTTTCCTCATTATTTTGAAGTATTGGATATTAATCCATAATATGCATGTATCCTAATTCACTTAACTGTTCTACTTCTACTAGATATGGAAGCTCTTTATCATGTTTTGAAATTATAATAAATAATGTTATAAACATATTGGAATCTGATTTGGAAATAGGATTCTTGGGCTGTAGTCTTTATCTTTCAAAGGTATAGAAATATTTTCACTCTCTTAAATTCTAAGGTTGCAAATGAGAAGTCTGATATCTGTCTAATTCTCTTCCTAAGAAAACTTTTTTTACTATATTGAAAAATTTATATGATTTTAAATTTATACTAGTTCAAATAGGTCTCTAGGATATGTATATATGCATGTCTCTTTTTAAATTTTTTAATTTATTTTTTCATTAAAATTTTACTTAGTTAACATATAGTGCAATATTGGTTTCTGGAGTAGAATTCAATGATTCATCACTTACATACAATACCCAGTGCTCATCACAACAAGTGCCCTCCTTAATACCCATCCCCCATCTAGCCCATCCCCCCCTGCGTGCCTCTTTAAAAAAAAAAAAGTTCATCAAAACTAATGATGTAATGTATGGTGATTAACATAACAATAAAAAAATTTTTTAAAGTTTTCTTGGAACTCACTCACCATTTTAAATTTGAAAATTCAAATTCTATTATAGCTTGGAATTTAAAAAAAAATAATCTTTTAAATGTTTGCTTCTTCACTTTTTGTTTCTTTTAAAACTGTTTCTAGCTTGCACCTAGACCATATTTGGTCTCTTCTATTTGCCTTAGTATTTCTTATATTTTTATCCATCATCTATTTCATTGCATATTTTTCTATCTTATGAAATATGCTATTTGACCTAACAGCCTAAGTTGTTTTTTCATCTGTGACAATTTTATAACTTTTTCTGTGATATTTTTAAAATCTCCAATCAAGTTTTACTTTAACTTACTTTAACTTACTTTAACTAACTTACTTTAACTTCCAGAAACTCTTTTTCGGCCCTCTACTGCTGTGTTTTAAGGTCTTTCATTTCATTTTTTGTGTATACATGTCCATCCATATATACATACATATTCTTCCTTTTTTTTTTTCCAAATCCTTTTTTTAAGCTGTCACATTTCCTTAAATGGCTTGATATCTTTCTTTGTCTTTGGATGTCAGTTGAATTAGGACTACTAATCACCTGAGTACTTTAAGACGGAATTTCTTGTGCAATGTTGAACCAGCAGGTAAGCTTACTTGGTCATATCATTGAAGTGTATGAGGAGAAGGCTCTCTGTTCTCAAAAGTAAGCTGGAAGGGGCTACTCTGATCAACACTTCAACTTTCTACTGGCATCAGTGGCAACAGGCAGCCTCTCCCAGAGCTGCGTGCAACAATTGGGCAGGTGTAGTCCTGTCCTTCACTAGATGCCTGCTTCTCCATCCCGGACCTAGGGTCCTACAGCCAGTTTCATCTGCAGACGCAAGCATCTTTCCATTCCAAAAACCTTCAGTATCATTCCCTAGCTTCACAAACACTGACTTACACCTATATCTTCTTTTAGAACTCAAAATCCTGTATATCTGAGACTTCCTCCAGTTATTCTCCCAGCTATTTAGAAATTCTCACAGTTATTTTGAAATTGTACTCCTCAGCAGAATGTTGAGATCGGGTTAAGAGCAACAGGACCTAGTGATAAAGTTTCTGAAAACCATGGATTAAATGACTGGATTTTAATTCAAGAGCAAGAGGAATGTACTGGGTTTTAAACAGGTGAGTGAATGTGATAAAATCCATAGTTTAAGAAGAAATATTCCAGCTTCAGTCTGGAGAATATCCTTGGAGGCAGGGAGACTGGTTGTAATGGAGACTCTAAAGGCCTAGATTAGAGCAGAGATAGAAGCAAAATGCAAATATATTTGAGTGTTGTTCAGGTGCACAATCAGTAAAACTTGGTGCTAGATCAGCTGTTGGGACTGAGAGAGAGAAGGACCTGATCAGACTTCTTATTGGACTGGTGGATGGCTAAGACTTCACTGAGGCACACTAGGGATCTCAGGTTATATTTATTTGAAAGTGATTATTCCTCTTACATCCATGCAGCAACATATTTATAGGCCTAAATTCCTAGAGGAGGACTGATTACATTACATTGCATGTGCATTTGAATCTTGATACATATTACCACATTGCTCCCTTAAAAGTTGGGTTTTGTTTTGTTTTGGTTTGGTTTTGGTTGATCTGATATATGAAAAATGATGTCTCGCTGTCAGTTTATTTTTACTTTTTTTTCTTCTTGGGGAGTTAGGATGTTTAGAAGACTAAAGGTAGGTAAGTAAGTAGATAGGTAGATAGATAGATAGATAATTCTATTAATATCCCTGTTCAGTTTTCTATTGGCTTTCTTTTCCTTATTGATTCTTAAAGTTCTTTCCAAATAAGGAGATCAGGACTTTGTCTGTCCTATGCGTTGTAAATATTTTTGCCAGTTAAATGTGTGGCTTATCATATATAGAAAGTTTTAATTCTAATGGAGTCAGATTGGTCAATTTGTTTCTTTTATGACTCCTGAGTTTTTTATAATGCTTAGAAAAGACTTCCATAATTATTTCATAATTATTTACATGTCATCCTCCCATCTTTTATCTAATATTTTTATAATTGCATCTTCAAACTTAAATATTTAATTCATATGAAATTGATATTAATGAAAGAAGATAAGAATCCACAGATGCCTACTTAAGGCCCCAGCACAATTCACTGGATAACCCATCATTTCCTCTTCTGCTTTAAAACTGTCTTTTTTTAAAACTATAAAGTAAATTTCTATACATATGTATCTCTCTTTTTATATTCTCCATTCTGTTCCATTGAGCCCATCTATTCTTGTGTTAATCAAAACTGTTTCAGTTATTGTGAAGTTATAATGTATTTATTTTCTATTGATGCTTATCCCATTCATCACTCTCATTTTTTAATAGATACTCTTATAGGTTTATTTCCGACATAAACTTTAGAATCAGACTGGTTTGAAAGAAGCTCATGTTGGTATTTCTATTAAATTCAGTTTAATTCCCAGATTTTTAGATTAATTTTGAGAAATCTGTTATCTTTATGATGTTGGGTCTTCTTTAATAAGTAAAGATAATTGTCTTTATTCACTTATTCATTTCTTTTTTTTCTTTCATACATAAAACTGAGAACTTTCTGATTTTTTTGCATGAAAGAAAATGATTGATTCTTTAGTCACTTAACTCTAGTTAGGAGCTGTAGAGTTGATTCTCTTTGATTTTCCACATATACAAGCATATCATTTGCAAATGATAATTTTGCTTCCAGTTTCTATAACTCTTTTTTTTCCTTTCTCTTGTCTAATTGCATAGGCCAGTAACTCCAGAACAGTGTCAAATAACAGTGATGACCATGTATGTTCTTTTTTTGTTTTCCATGACTTTACTGGCAAGGCCTTAGATGTTTAACAAATAAACATTTTATCAGCTTTCAGCAGAGATACCTTACACCGTTTCTGTACTTTCCAATTCTCCTGGGCTTTCTTTATTGGCTTTCTTTGTCCAGTACCTTCAACCCTGAAAATCCCTACATTTGTTTAAAGATTAAAAAAAGCTAAATTCTTCTTCACCTACTGTTTCCAAAGGAACAACTGGAGTAGAGGGCAGGAAGAAAGAGGAGCTTGCTAAACTGCACTACAATGGCCAAAACATAGGGTTAGAGAAAGTTCCCTCTAGCTGAGGGAGTCCCTCTCTACAGAAGGAAGAACCCGAGGGTGGGGAGGAGTCGGGGCCACCCCCGCCCCCAGCCCCACGTCGGTGCCATCCGCGGAGATGAAATGTGAGCCCGGGTGGCCCAGGACTCAGGAGCGGGCTGCTTCGTCTTCCGCCTGAGCGCCGCGGCCAGAGACAAAGAGACCTCGGTCCCAGCGCAACCCCGCGCGGGCCGGCCCGGGCTCCCCTCGAAGGCTCCCAGGGCAATGGCCCCCCCGCGATCCCCGTCTCGGGAGTGCTGACCTCTCCCTCTGACCGCCCTCCAGCCCCTCCGCGTCTGGGGCTCTCCTTTCGTTCCCAGCCCCCTTTCCAGTCTGTCTGTCCGTCGGTCCTGGCGCGCAACCTCCGGCCACCGGCTTGGATGGACGCGCGGAGGCTGCCCGGGTGTCCAGGGATCTTGCTTCCGAAGTTGGTCCTGCTCTTTGTCTACGCAGGTCAGTGGCTTGGGGAGGCGAGAGAGGGGAAGGGGACTTGGGACTGAGCCTGCGTCGCCCTCGGGGCAACGCGGGTAGGGCGGGACGCACGGGGACCTTTGTGGGAGGGCCAGCTCTGTGTGGTCCCCGCCGGGTAGCCACAGAAGCCGGTGCGCCGGACCCTCGGCTCGACCTCCACGCGTTTTTGTTTTGTTTTGTTCCTTTTCTTTAACTTTCCCCGTTTTTCCTTTTCGCTTCCTTTCTCTTTCCGCAAGCAACGTAAAAACCCCAGTCCCACAGTTAGGGAATTTTACTCTCTGGATAGCATAAAAGTTATCCAATCCTATTCACGACTCGGGAATCTGAGGGTTGAGAGCAGAGACTGAGGGTGGGAGAAAAGCATCTTTAAAAAGCACCTGAGGTTAGAGGTATTTGCTGAAGTTTTAAAATAAACTAATGTGGTGACTTTTCCATTTCAGAGTAGGCTACCCCCTGCCCCTGCTACACCCACATTCTGAGTATTTCTGAATTAAAAGCTTTAGACCTTTGGGTTTCTTCTTCAGATCATTCTCAAGGGTAGTAGTCTGGGTAATTGGATGCTTTGAGTTCAAATATAAAGTTTTTGAGGGGTGTAAATTCAACCAGAGACTAATCTGTTTTCATTGATTTCGTTAAGCACTGTTTATAGGTGAAAGGGATTTCATTTCCCTCCTTCTAATTATTCTTCCTGAGCATTGCTAATAATTGATGGAGCAAAGCGGTTTTCTCGTTTTTACTGAGATGGAGCTCAAAATGACCCTTCACTGGTTTTTCATATATAAGGTTAATTAGACATGTGGTTTTGCATCTGCTTTGTATTCATAAAACAAGCTAAAAGCAAAGTTGTTTGTAAAGTGTTTTTATGTCTCTCACTTCCAAGGACAAAAATCACAGTAGTCAATTTATGTAGCACTGATTTAGCTTTTGATACTTACAAAGATATTGCAACTGAAATGAAGATGTTCTTCAACATTGTTACTGAACATCAAGAGAATCGAACTCATTCAACCTTGCCAGAAATGACTCCCCAAACTTCTATAGAAATTTTCAATTTGTACACTAAAATGTAAATTAGTAGCTGTCTATAAGTTATTTAAAAGATATTTTATTGCAAGGAAAATGCTGACTTTCAAATACAAAAACTTATAAAAGTAGGGAAAGTACTTCCTATTTAATGAGGAGAAACCACATTCTAACCCGTTTACAATGCTTATTTCTTTTACTTACAGTGTGTGAGGTTTTCAGAATTTGAGAGACTGAAACAATTGCATTAATACTAGTTTTATATTAAAATCTTATTAGTTCCCTTGAAGCTATGATTCTACCTCCTCTGTTTATCCAAAGGAAAAAAAAAATAAGAAAATAGAACACGACCTCACTCATCTTTACTCAGTCGGCGCCCTTGAACAACTTATTCTTTTGTCTATTTTGTTCCCTGTGGTAAACCGAAAGCTTCTAATGTGCACACTTTTCCTTCCTTTCCTCCTGTGCCCCCAGTGCTAGTTGCACAACCCCCGGGGTTCAGGAAATCTGCAGAGCTGGCTGGCAACAAGTTTGGTTAGTTAAGAAAGCTTTCCTCCATTCATTTCTTCTCTCCTCCCCCATCCCTCCCTAGGAAGCTACAAAGTAATCACAAGCCAGTAATACTGAATTGACATACTGTCTTTGATAAGAAATGTTTAGCTAATGTGTTCTTTCGTGTTAATTCCTGAACTCTTCGCTTCAGAAGCCCTTTTATGCTTGCTATATTTATTTACGCAATATTTGTTGAGTGAGGTATTTTGCGTGATGTATAGGACAGAAGCCATGCTCTGAGTCTTGTCTGGGAGACAAGGCGTGCCTACTTTAATGTATAAAAGGCTGTGCCCTAGAAGTACAGCTCTGTGCTATAGGTGTTCACAGGTGGGGACCTCGTTGCTGGCTTAAGAGTGTAAACTCTATGAAGATGATGTCTGTCTGTCTTGTTCAGCGTAATATCCAGAGACTAGCAAAATACCTGACCCACAAGAAGAGCTCAATAAATATTTGCTCAGAGAAACTGAATTAAGGAGGGATTTTAGGAACTAGACCTTTGATAGGGAAGCCTTGGACATAAGGGAATGGAGTAGGATATAATGTGAACAAAGGCAAAAATCATGAGAAACCTATTTGCAAAAGTACATGATTCATTTTGGTTGGAACTAAGAGATGTGGCTGGAAGTGAGGACTGGAGTTAAGTGGGGAGACAATGCAGCTATATACTAGTTGAGACACCCTGTTAAATGAATTGCCAGCTTTAATGGGACAAAAACCTAAGTAGATGCATTGCTCATAGCCTGAATTATTTTCTCCCAAAGCAAACACATTAAATTCATGTTGCATTCATTAAGGAGGTAAGAGCAAAGTTTCTCTACCTAAAGCATCATGTTTTGCTGTGGAACCACCTTTGGAAAGAGACCCAGTGAAGTTTATATTATCACCCAACTCCCAATGCAGGCGACAAAGACAGGATTTGGCCAAGGTTTTACCTTCCCCGGGCCTCAGCCAGTGACTTCTGTCCCCTCCCTTTCCTTCCTCTCTTATCCTCAGCTGTAGCTTACAAGAACCATTTCTGAGCAAGTGCTTGTGGCCAGATGTTGCTTTTCCTGTGCTTCACATTCCTTAAGGCGGGGTGAGGGTTGGAGAACCTTCTTCCAGATCATGCTTTTAATTAAAGTCACTGAAGAAAGTTTCCACTGGCTATTTGTCAAGGATATTAACTTGAATATTAGAAGTAATGTTGTTTATCTTCTGAAACAATTGGAATGTTCCATTCTTTACAAATGAGAAAATGCTCTGGTATCTTCCAAATCTGATCTTCATAGAATTATTCTGAAATAAACTGGAGAAAGCAACTAACATTAAAATAAGATTTGAGGTGTGGTCAAAACCTGAGTTTGGAAATGTGATTGTGAATGTATTTGCCGTACTATGAAATCTGCCCTTTTCAGTTGTTTAATTCTGGGAAGTTGACAGGAGTGCTGGAAAATGCCATAAAAAATAATGAACAATGTGTGACATGATCTTGATGTTTGCTGCAGGTATAATCCAGCTTCTTGGCTACAAGATAATGGGCTTGGTTTCCTGTAGCATTGGTTCAAAATATTTTGATAACACCATGTCCTTATAACAGTAGTAATTGGAATACAATAATAGTAATTGGATCTTTGATATTCATGGAGAGCTGAATAAGATGTCACTATCATGGGCATCATGATATTTTTTCCTCTCATTTCTTCTTACGACATCTCAGAAGAAAACATTAAGGTAGAAATAAAGTCAAGGGGAAAAATACGAATGTTTTCACTTGCTCTACGAAGGCCATGCAGTATTGACAAAGGTGAATGAACTTTTGATCACATCCATTTGTCAAAAATCATCCTGCCAGGGAGGTGATTTAAAAACAAAATCTGAATTTTCCTTTCTAGGTAAATCAATCACATGGACATACAGACAGAGTGTAACATAGTTCACTTTTCAGTTATGACTTGACAGGCAAGCAAAAGTGTTCCATAATTTAGTTCATAGTTGATGTTACCTTTAGAGAGTGAGCTGGAAAGGACTTATTTTGTGATTCTTAAACACCATAACTTAAATTACCAGCCTATAACTTAATGTTTTCCTAGTCATGTACCTGAAACTCACATATCCATTATAATTTATACCACTGAGTATAACTGATAATCTTAACATAAATCATTGAGGTAGCACAAAGAATTTTAAAAGCCAGGGTAACTTTTATTCAGCATTTTGGGTTTAATTTTCATTACCCAAAACATAGGGAAAAAAAGACAGTAATTTGGCTTTATCAGCTCCAACAAGTTCCTTTTACTCAGAAAATACCTTTTCCTCTTCCCACAGTGCTGTTTCATAACTTATTGATTCTTAAATCTGGCATTAAATAAATTCTTAATTATTTACAAGTTAGTTATCTACAGGAACCTCTTCCTACAACTAACTGATTATCTTCCAATCCAGATGGCTTGACAAGATACATATGCAGACTAATTTGTGTAACCATATGTGTGCAAAGTGTAATTATTAAGATAAAAAAGTGTAGAGAAAGGATAACATATAATACACTGTCATGAAAATATACATTATTTTAAAATTATCTCCAGTTGACTTTATACATGTCAATCACACTTTCCATAAAATGAAGCTAATTGGGAGTACTACCCTAAAGTCAAGACTTTATCATTTCGAGATTATTATTAAGAACTCTATTTAAAAAAAGATTTCTATTGAAAAATTGAATGACTGATTCGTTGGATCATTCATTTCTCCTTTCATTGTCTCATTCAACAATTCTAACTACCAATTATGGTACTTGATCAGGAAATTCAAAAAAGAATGATCTTTGCCTCTTCTAGATTTATGTCCAGGAGGGAAGGAAGACTCGTTTAGATGCTTACACATGTCTTGGAATTCTGAGTACGTACAGTGAATATCTAAATGCACTGAAGAGTGGTCTTTGAGGGTGAGATGTGAAATAGAAGACTTTTTCATGCAGCTGTGATTTCAGAACTGTAAAGGACATATGTGGTGTTTATGTTGCAGAGGATTGCCTTGCTCAGTGTGGGAAAGACTGCAGATCTTACTGCTGTGATGGAACCACACCCTACTGTTGCTCCTACTACGCTTATATCGGGAATATCCTCTCGTGAGTACTTTGGCACTATTGATGCTCTTCCCATTGCTCAGTTATGTTCTCACAAAGCACTACGTTATAGTTAGGGGCAGAAATTTTGAGAGTCGTTATTGACATAAAATCTTCATGGAGATACTAAACACTCACCACTATCTAGTGTGTTATATTATTTGACAAAATGTGCAAATTGATACGCAAAATAAGCTGCTTTTATTAGAAGGGAATTAAAAAGTATCTTCTGACTGCTTAATTTGTGTTCCAGAATAATAATGGTTTTAGTCAACTGCATTCATATTATTGATCATTTTTTAACATTGTAAATTATATGCTTTTGTCTGCTTTGTTGAAGGATTTGTAAGCTAGAATTTGTCATTTAATTATGGCTAGTTTATTTTGCCATGTATTTGTCTAACCCATTCAGCAGATATCAGGGAAAGGAGACATTATGAATAAAAAACAGTTGAGATATGAAATGTCAATTTTCTACATAATGCATAGTAAATAACTTCAAGAAATAAGTTTAGAGCCCAAGAAAGGCCATCAACAATGTAAAGGGGTAACCAACTACAAACATCAATGAAACATACACACATAGGATGTGTTGAGCATTTCCCCATAACAAATTAAGAATGTATTTTGGAGGAGCACCTGGGTGGCTCAGTTGGTTAAATGTCTGACTCTTGATCTCAGCTCAGGTCTTGATCTTGGGTCACGAGTTCAAGCCCCACGTTGAGCTTCACACTGGGTGTGGAGCCTACGTGCAAAAAAAAAAAAAAAAAGAATTTGTTTTGGAGTTGCTTCTGGGCAAAGGGAAATGGAGAAGCAAGAACCAGCTTCAGGGTTGTATGTCTGAAAGGTGTACAAATCTCAGTCCTTCTACACACATCTTGAAGTGGAGAAATCAGAAAATTAGGAATGTTAAGAATTTTCAGAGTCAAAAATCACCCATGGCTTTCCAATAACAGTAAGAGTCTAGCTTCTCAGACTAGCTCCTTAGTTTTTACTTTTCAAGTGAATATCAAGATGATTTGGGAGCTATTCTGTGGTGGCTTAACTCCTGGCCTGTGAAGGCTTTAGTAGAAACAGGAAAGATTAGGCATGAAGGGAAATGTGCCTGGCTATTTCAGGGCTGTGTCCACTCATATGGCTTATAACTCATCCTCCATTCTGAGGCCAGAAAACCTGGTACCACATAACCTTCCTAGAATCAAAGTTGGGGCTGTTATTAGAGATCAAGTCTCTCTGAATAAGGCCAAAAAGAATCATATTTCAGGATGCTCTTGAAGTCTATCATGGCTATATAAGAAATGGTAGGCTGTAATAAAGATTGATGAGTGGAATTTTAAGCATTCTTTGAAATGCAAAATAAGCCCTAAATAAAATGAATTTTTTCTCATGGGAATCTTGTCGAAAATGGGATTAAGTCCCCTTCTTACATTAGAGATCAGTCAGAATGATATTTACAAGAACTAATCAGTTCAGAATACCCTGAATATAAATATATAATGATATTTCACATTTGTATATCATTTCTCACTTTTAAAGTAATTTAAAATACATTATTACTGAATTCCATTTCTATTTTCGAGTGGATTCCACATACCAGCTATTTGCTGCTTTGGGGAGATGTATAAGTGGGCCCAGCAGGTGGTATAGATTTGAGGAAACTGGCTTCAGAGGGATTCTGTGATTCTTTGGTCCCCTGGCTCCTGGTCCCACCTGCTAATGTCCATCATGGTTTGTATTGTGCCCTCATTTCTCACCTCATAGCTACCTCTATCCTGGTAGATATATAGAGAAGACAAAATGACTTAATTAGAACTTAAGAAATTTAAATGTATAGATGTGCTTTGTATGTTTTATATTTGCATTCACATTCACATTTTTATGGCACATTTTAGTTTTACCCTTGGTTAAAGTAAAGAATTAGTTGAACTGATATATTTATCTGGGTTCTTTGGGCCATGTACTTGTTATGTTTGAAAAAAGGAATTGTGTTTTGAGTGGGGGGAGAGGAAGAAAAACAGATGGCATTATATTTCAAGTTGTTAAAACTGAATTTTCTGTTCAAAATAGAAGGCAAGTAAATCCTTTGCTAAACAATTCTTAGGAGAAAAAAAAAAAAGAGAGAGAGAAGCTTTAAAGTGTTTTCCCCCACTGAATAAAGGAGAATACATTTTCAGGATTTCCACTTATTGTTTAAGATTTGAAAAGAGTTCTTAACTCCACCCAAGGCTTTTTTTTTTTTAAGTTGGGGTAGGGGGAGGTGAGTAGATAGGGAGAAAAGTCATTCCAAGAATGCTTACAAAAGTTCTTTCATGCACATGTTTTCAAATATTGCTATTTTGGAACTCATAAACTACACTTCCTCTCTTCCAAGGATCCAGGCACATTCTTACTAAAATCATTTTAATCATCTTAACAGAAAATTAAATCTTTGTAGTTATTAGAGAAGTAATAAGGAAGAAAGCAATAAACATAATGGAATGTTATGTATCCTAAATGACTAATTTTATAAATTGGTTATAATTTGGTTTCTATTTTTGTTTGTTTTCAAAATAGAAGATATCTTGGCTCTGTTTAAAATGAAGTAAAAAGAGCGCAAAATACAATTTGGGTCATTCTAGACTGTTCACAAGTTGGTATGGGAAGGTACACTCAATCCTCATTGCTGAGGCCCCTCTAAAATAATCAGAATAGAGATGTTTAGCCCTTAACTCTGTTTACTTCAAATCTCCTTTCTGTTTTGCAAATTAACCACGAAGGCTCATTTTATAAAGAGATCACAAGAGCTAACTTTCAACTTACCTTTTAGTTGAGAAGTCTTATTTTACTCAGATCCCTCCTTTGTAGACACTTTATATTCTAAATATGAGTTAATTTTGACAAATAAATTCAGATTATACATCACCACATTTTTTTCTTTTTTCAGTTAAAAATTCTTAATTTTACTTATGTCTCATGAAAACCTTTAAAAATTCAACTTTTAATAGCGTATCTACTTTTTAACTGAAATATAACTGGCATATAACATTATATTAGTTTCAGGTGTACCACATAATGATTCAGTATTTGTATATATTGCAAAATGATCACCGCAATAAGCCTATTTAACATTAGTTGATTTAAAATAGCATATTTACCTTTGGTCATTATGGTTATAGATAATAAGCTCAATCTAGAAAAATAGTACCATTTTCCAGAATTTAAGATTGCTTTTACAGGAGTCAACATATACTATCCAATCAGTTATTTACAAATACATATGGAGTGCCCATTAATTACCATGGCAGTATGGATTCGGGGATCCAAAAATGAATAAATGATATAACTTGACTTCTAGGATTTCACAATCTAATAAGAGAAGAAAGTGTAAACCAATAATTCTAATTCAGTGAATTAATCTATAAAGTGCCATTGGAGGGCCAGGAAGAGAGAAAACAGCTATGTCTTTGTGTGTGTGTGTGTGTGTGTGTGTTTAGAAAGAAATGTTTAGAGAAAGTCTCATAAACATGACATTGGGTCAGAGTATTGAAGGAAGAGTAGATATTTACATAAATGGACAGTCAAGAAAGGGAGGTACATTCCAGAGAGAGAGACTCTCAGTTGCAAAGGCAAAGATATAAGAAAGGAAAATGATCAGTTTGGGAAAACCGTGTCATTCAATGTCGCTAGAGAGTGAAGGTTAAACTTTGAATATGGCAAATGAGTACGTAGGGAAGAAAAAGATAGGTCCTGACTTTCACATACTTTTATTGGTAGATTACATACTTCTATTGACCATACCTAACAAAACTGAAACAAAATACTCCATTATTTTTCTAGAAATAAGATAGCTGGTTTTATATAGAAATGACACATTCTTAGACATCACTATAACACGGGACACAGGTGAGAAAGGCCAAATGGACATTATTTTCTTTATGCCATAGAGAAAGGACTTGGAATAAACACTTTGTAATGTTGCACTATTTAGAACAACATGACAGGTTATGTGACCTTGGAATTATTTCTCCATTTTTGACATATTTCCTCACAGGGGTAACTACCTGAAGATTAAAAGCCTCACTATGTTTCAAAGTGAGGATTGGGCCAATTCAAGAAGTAAACAATTTCTCTTCAAGTTGATTCTCAAATATTTCATTCAGCCACTCTTGCCCATGAAAAATAAACATCTGTGATGAATATGGAAAGGGATATTTCAATTTTTGAGCTGATTAATTGACATTTTCAAGAGAGACGATCCAGCATGAAGATGTGGTTGTAGAGTACTCTTTAGAATTGGAAGAATTCAAAGGGAGAGAGGGGGTCATTGAGTGGCTAATTACTGTTAGCAATGGAACAAAGTAAAAACAGGACTTTATTGGAAATGAAGGGAAACTGCTATGTGAGGAAAAAAAGAATTGCCCAATATTGAATATGAACCCAATAATGCCTAGGTTGGACTTAGTGAGCCAGATAACAAGATATAAGATTTAATCCTTTTACTCAAAAACAGATTTTTGCTCTTCCAGTTTGCCTCTGTAAAATGCAGCTCTGTCTAGGGATTTCAGAGCACCATCCGGTCAACACAAAATCCCCATGGGGGAAAAAAAAATCAAGAGGAAGAACTAATAATGGAGATCCTGGTGGGATTAAGTTTCTTTTCTTCTCAATGAAACGTGAAAGATGTATTGCGCACAGTTTTGCAAGGACAGCTAATAAATATCACCACTGTGATTTTAGAGCTATATTATGCATGGAAGCAAAACCAAGTTAAGAGATAAAGGTTTCATATTTTCAAATGGCATTTGAAGTCCTTTGCTCATTAAGTAGCTCAGCATTCTGAAAAAAACACATGAGGCTCTTCAAATACTGACTGGAACATAATGCATTTGAAAGGCTTTTGGTATTGGTAAAAACATCATTTAAATTAATTAACTTAAAATATTCTTAGTACTTAGATATTAAAAAAACAACTCTGAAAGGTGCTTACTGAGCAAATAGAAATTTGTGGGGGGTCTTATTTTTAA